TTTTTTTTGGAGAGGGTAATGAAGACTATGGGGTTGAATCCTCCCTTTCGTGCCGCCAGTGTTCACCCAACTATGAACAAATATATTATCATTCCAAGATAGTATATTTTTCTTTGTTTGTCTGGGATGAAAGACCATATATATATATATATATATATATTTTATATAATATATTTTATATATATATATATATATATATATATATATATATTTTTATATATATATATAAGAATCATGAATCCTCAACAATAACACTGTAACATCCATATTGTGGATTCTTCGCCTGTATCTCAAATTGTAAGGGAACCTAGTTGAGTATTATGGGATTTATAAGCCTCTTATATAAATTAATACACTGCAGGTTGGCAATTATAGTAATTTATAGCTTCTAAATCAAAATGTCATCCAAGGTTTTTCATACTACACTAACACCTACAAGGAACTTGTACATCGCTGCTTCACTCTCCTACACCAACACTACTTCCAAGGATGTAAATTATAAGTGGGTACCCGCACACTGCGGAAAGAGTTAATGAGGTAACCAAGGTAATGGTGCACAATACAACATTCACACCACTATCAACTCCACATACAGTACGTGAAGATACTTTGAAAATTATCATCACAAACAGTTTCAAGTGTAGATGTAAACAAGGCTTATAAAACTAGAGAACTGGTCAGACTAAGCTCGGTACACTGAGCTACATGTGCAGAACAAAAATATTAACGAGCGGTCACTCATTAGAATAATTTCAGAAACAATACAGCATTTTCTCTTCCATCTTCAAGCATGAAGCTACTACCATTAAAATCACCTTCGCCAGTGAAAACATTTTGGGAAGCGGAATCTTCTCACTACATAAAACAGAAAATATATAGATAAAGCACGAACAAAATTCCTACAAATTACTAGAAAACAGCAAATGCCAGAGAATCGCCACGACGAGGAATCCAAGAAGTAACCGAAGTGACTTCAGGAATCAATGACCCAACCAAACTAGTCACTCGACAACACAACTCATGAAGTCATCAGGATTCCCAGTATCCAGGATCCCCGTAATCTTGCTTACCCCCCTGGTGGGCATATAATGTAACCCTAGAGAAATTACGGACTACTGGTGTACGATTATATCCAAATATCTACTCTGGTTAACGCCATCATCCGTTTTAGTGCTGCTGATCACAGTTAAGAAGATAAACTCAATAAATATGGGGACTTTGATCACCGGTACCACTTTGTTCCCTAAGATCAGATACCCTTGGACCCTGATAGTAGTGTCTGATATTAGTATCTGATTTTAGTGTCTGATTTTGGTGTTCTGATACTAATGTTTATGTAAACTGTGACCTGAATGACCTTGAAACTAATACACTCATTCATATTGCTCCAAATACTAGTCGCAACTTACATCTTAAAGGAGTACTTAGTGCACACTGAAAGATATATTGTTTTTATCTTAAGAGGCGAGGGAGAAGTGGGTTGGGTGAAAGTGGGTGTGGTGGAGAGAGGTGGGTTAAAGGTGGTGCTTCGAGGAGGAGAGGGTGAAGGAGGGTAATAATAATGGCACTATCTTTTAGGGTCAGTTATAAATAGGTATAGACAGCTGTATAAGTTGAGCGACAGATATGACGTGACAATGATCCCAGAACTATCTATAAGTACCTAACGAAGCTACACTACCAAGGAGCCAGACCTAATCAAGCTATATTATGATGGCAAACAGACATAATTAGACTAGAGTACGGTAGGTATAGGTAGGTAGGTACGCCAGGACAGGTCCCTACCCAGGTCTTCTCCATGCGGTGACCCGACATAGACCACGGCGCCAGTGCATGTTTTTGGAGAGTTAAATTTACGGGCTATGAACTATTATCCTATTTCTGCTCATTTCAAAGCCAAGCTCTATATAAAGTATACTGACACCCTCCCCGGATGCCACCCACAGGGTGGGTGGCATGACCCAGGTACTTACTGATTGCTAGGCGAATAGAGGCAACAGCTGTAAAGAAACACGTCCAAGATTTCTATCTGTGCCGTGATTAAGCCTTGGTCCCTCACTTGTGAGCCGAGGATCACTTCATTAGTCACGTCTTCACAGTTTCTCAATACCGGGATTACTCTGTTTCTATACACACAAAAAAAATATTTTAAGCAGTTGCATTACGGTCAGGAGAGAAGCAACTCACGTAAAGGAATACTAGTAGGGTGAATTAATATATTTAGAGCATTTTTCTGATATACAGAATTTAGTATGTTATTGCCTGGTTTGAGCTGCTGTCATAATAGACTAAGTTGCTATTTAACCTGAAAAGTAGCTAGTAGAGTGAAGGTATACATTCAAGCCTAAATTTTATGTTTTGGTGTTAAAAATATATATGCTACAGACCTGTCAGGTATCAGTGAGTCTTCCCAGGCTATTTGACCTGAGGTCAGGCTTCCTGGTTTATTACTTGGTCAACTAGGCTGTTATGTTAACCGCCAGTAGATATAGGGTGAGGTCCGAATATTTACCGTTCAGACAATGCAATGCACACGACAGGGCGAGAAAAGTGTAGTACAAGCCTGGTGATCCGGGGTATGGGAATCAACGCCTAGTGTTTATTTGGTACTTATCCTTATCTCGGGTTTGGCTGTGGTACAAGTAATGTGTCCCATAGCTCGACTGTCAGCGTACTCAACTCACACACTGAAGTCAGTGGTTCGATCCCCGGTACTGATGGAAACATTAGGACATGTTTCATTAAGGTACCTGCAGTCTCTGTTCCCCTATCAGTAAAATAGGTATCTGGGTGTTAGTAGACTGGTGTGGGTCGCATCCTGGGAACAAAATTGACCTAATTTGCCCGAAATGCTCTGCATAACAAGGGGGCTTTCTGTATAGTAGTATGTTATTGATATCAGTTAGGCCTCTCTACCTTGTTTACCTGGAGTTTACCTGGAGAGAGTTCCGGGGGTCAACGCCCCGGCGGCCCGGTCTGAGACCAGGCCTCCTGGTGGATCAGAGCCTGATCAACCAGGCTGTTGCTGCTGGCTGCACGCAAACCAACATACGAGCCACAGCCCGGCTGATCCGGAACTGACTTTAGGTGCTTGTCCAGTGCCAGCTTGAAGACTGCCAGGGGTCTGTTGGTAATCCCCCTTATGTGTGCTGGGAGGCAGTTGAACAGTCTTGGGCCCCTGACACTTATTGTATGGTCTCTTAACGTGCTAGTGACACCCTTGCTTTTCATTGGGGGGATGGTGCATCGTCTGCCAGTCTTTTGCTTTCGTAGTGGGTGATTTTCGTGTGCAAGTTCGGTACTAGTCCCTCTAGGATTTTCCAGGTGTATATAATCATGTATCTCTCCCTCCTGCGTTCCAGGGAATACAGGTTTAGGAACCTCAAGCGCTCCCAATAATTGAGGTGTTTTATCTCCGTTATGCGCGCCGTGAAAGTTCTCTGTACATTTTCTAGGTCGGCAATTTCACCTGCCTTGAAAGGTGCTGTTAGTGTGCAGCAATATTCCAGCCTAGATAGAACAAGTGACCTGAAGAGTGTCATCATGGGCTTGGCAGCCCTAGTTTTGAAGGTTCTCATTATCCATCCTGTCATTTTTCTAGCAGATGCGATTGATACAATGTTATGGTCCTTGAAGGTGAGATCCTCCGACATGATCACTCCCAGGTCTTTGACGTTGGTGTTTCGCTCTATTTTGTGGCAGAATTTATTTTGTACTCTGATGAAGATTTAATTTCCTCATGTTTACCATATCTGAGTAATTGAAATTTCTCATCGTTGAACTTCATATTGTTTTCTGCAGCCCACTGAAAGATTTGGTTGATGTCTGCCTGGAGCTTTGCAGTGTCTGCAATGGAAGACACTGTCATGCAGATTCGGGTGTCATCTGCAAAGGAAGACACGGTGCTGTGGCTGACATCCTTGTCTATGTCGGATATAAGGATGAGGAACAAGATGGGAGCGAGTACTGTGCCTTGTGGAACAGAGCTTTTCACCGTAGCTGCCTCGGACTTTACTCTGTTGACGACTACTCTCTGTGTTCTGTTAGTGAGGAAATTATAGATCCATCGACCGACTTTTCCTGTTATTCCTTTAGCACGCATTTTTGTGCGCTATTACGCCATGGTCACACTTGTCGAAGGCTTTTGCAAAGTCTGTATATATTACATCTGCATTCTTTTTGTCTTCTAGTGCATTTAGGACCTTGTCGTAGTGGTCCAATAGTTGAGACAGACAAGAGCGACCTGTTCTAAACCCATGTTGCCCTGGGTTGTGTAACTGATGGGTTTCTAGATGCGTGGTGATCTTGCTTCTTGGGACCCTTTCAAAGATTTTTATGATATGGGATGTTAGTGCTATTGGTCTGTAGTTCTTTGCTGTTGCTTTACTGCCCCCTTTGTGGAGTGGGGCTATGTCTGTTGTTTTTAGTAACTGTGGGACGCCCCCCGTGTCCATGCTCCCTCTCCATAGGATGGAAAAGGCTCGTGATAGGGGCTTCTTGCAGTTCTTGATGAACACAGAGTTCCATGAGTCTGGCCCTGGGGCAGAGTGCATGGGCATGTCATTTATCGCCTGTTCGAAGTCATTTGGCGTCAGGATAACATGGGATAGGCTTGTGTTAATCAAATTTTGTGGCTCTCTCATAAAAAATTCATTTTGATCTTCGACTCTCAGTCTGGTTAGCGGCTTGCTAAAAACTGAGTCATATTGGGACTTGAGTAGCTCACTCATTTCCTTGTTGTCATCTGTGTAGGACCCATCTTGTTTAAGTAGGGGCCCAATACTGGACGTTGTTCTCGATTTTGATTTGGCATAGGAGAAGAAATACTTTGGGTTTCTTTCGATTTCATTTATGGCTTTTAGTTCTTCCCGCGATTCCTGACTCCTAAAGGATTCTTTTAGCTTAAGTTCGATGTACTTGTAGAAATAAAGATTATTATTAGTGTGCAGGTTCGAGTCCTGTTGTTTAAAATATTAAGGTAATCAAACACGACCTTTTTTGTTCATTTATTTAATATTTTACTTGGACTTTATGAGGCATTAGCAAGATATTTGTTCAGTGATGTTCACACACACGTGCTTCTTATAGATATTGCTGTCACAGAGGGCTGCTGTAACAGTAACAATGCTTGCCAGAGGAAATATTATTACTAATATAGTCTTTGGAAAAGCACTAAACCTACGAGAGTCATACATCTCTTTGGGAATAGAAGGTAATTAGGTTTGATCGAAAGAATGGGATAGTAGCTCCAATTCGTTAAATTCAGATTCCTTTACCAACATAAAGGCATCCCTGCCAGGTGATCACTGTGACAGAAATCAACAAGGATATAACAAACGTTCTTTTGTAACAAACTGACTAGAATTCTTCTCCGGGTATACAGTGTATAAAAGATTGGGACAAGAGTCCCAACAGATGTAGTATTCCTAGACTTGTAGGAATACTACCGTGAAGATTGCTACCTCCAGTAAAGGTATATGGTATAGGTGACAACTTCCTGCCTGAATCAGCGAGTTTTAGTTTAGTTTAATATGTTTACTATGCACCCCATACCCATCCTGTGGGCGGTAGTCAAAAGATTACAGAGGTACATAATTGGTCCAGGGACTGGACTCCAAAGTTTTGACAGCTGAGCAAGTTACACAGGTAACGAACTCACAATTTACAAAGGTAATGAACTCACAATTTACAAAGGTAATGAACTCCAGGTAGGTCTGGTCACAATCATGACAAGTTACAAAGGTATTTACAGATTACAGAGGTACGTAATGGGTCCAGGGACTGGGCCCCCAAAGTTTTGATAGCTGAACTAGGTACAAAGGTAATGAGCTCACAAGTTACAAAGGTAATGAATTCTGTAAGAATGGTTACTAACGTTTATACATGGCTATAATCATGAACAAATTATAGTGTAATGAGCAAGCGAGGAGCCCACCATTAAGAAACAACATGTGGTACAGAATGGAGAAATGTCTGGGTTCCTGAGATAAATCCCTGGCCAAATCTTTCGCACATTTTTACATACACGAAGTGGGACTAAATATATTAAATATATATAAAAATTTGCAAAGCAATGATTGGAAATATGAAAAATGACTTTCAGTACTGAAAACAGAATCATACATCTCGACTAGCCGAAGCAAATAATCATTAATGCCGACGTTAAGTAAAAGATAATGTCTAGTTACTGGTATCAAAGCTGACATAAGATTAGGTTTCAGAACTAGAAATTTCGAGTATAAAACATTAGTAACAATGATTATACTATAAGGCACTTGTCAGACATCACTTATATGTCCAGTATGGGTCTCTATATTACATAAAAGACAAAGATATCATGGAGATGTTACAGGTTTAATAATAATAATCGTATCTACATTAAATAAGAGACTAAGAAAAATCAAAGCAATCAATCTCTTCTCCAATCGGAGTCTACAAAAACTTCTTCATACCTTTAACTTATTTAAAAAGTCAAACAAAGGAGAGTGCAAAGTAATTCAAAGTAATTCAACGTGATTCTGTAAAACTCCGAGGCAGGAGGTGCAATGCCAATTCTGGCAGTGTCTTGGTAAGGTTATGAAACATGACTAGACTTCATAGTGAAGTTGTAAATGGAATAACAAGACGGTCCTTTAAGAACCTGTTGACATACACTTTACCAATATTGGGATCTTAGATAAAATTTCAGGTGTTGCCAGTAGCCACAACCTACCCAAGATGGGCTGATTATGGATATTTTCCCTGGGGCATAGTAGTAGTAGTAGTAGTAGTAGCAATAATATTTGGTGACTAACAGTTGGTAAAATTAGGCTTTAATTAATCATTCTCAGCAGATAGCCTCGATATAAACTCTAAAGTTTTCTGTGCCTTTCACATGTACTGCCGTGTACGCCCACGTACTCCCATGCACCCCTGAGGTTAATGAAGGAATAAGAGTATAGAGTAAATGATAAGGTCCGTGAGGACCTGAACAAATGATCAATATGAGGCGGGGGGGGGGTATCCCTGTAGAATCAAGGATAACATCAGAAATGAAGAGATGAGGGGGACCAATGTACACTGAACAGTCACGTGAACATGGGTAGAATTTTAGAAGCTATTCATCGAATTGGATTTATTAAAGTAAGTGAACGTTAGCGTTCATCATTTTGGGCTCTGAAAGTAGAAGCAGAAGCACTGTGTGAATACCTAGCAAAAATCTACAAATCGCTGGAAATGGGGAAAAACAACGAGGACAGACCGTGGTGAATTACAGACCCTTATTTATGGTATTCATATTATCTAACACAAGGATGAATATAGTCAGGAAAATGGTGAGAAAATAGAGAAAATGGATTCCTCAATGACATCCAAAATGGGTTTAGAAAATAAAGTTTCTGTCACGAATCTACTTGATTTTTACTAATATTATATTATATTTATAAGGAAGCAATAAACCCGTAGAGGTTGTACAGTGCCTGGGCAATAACAGGCAATCAAGGTCGATGACTCAACTGGAGTGCTACGATAAGGTAACAGAAAGCAGGAAAGGAAAATGTGCAGAGAAATTATTCCAGGACTGTAAGAAGGTATTTGATAACGTACCACATCAGAGACTGGTCCACAAACTGGAAGAGTAGGCAGGGATAGCGGATAAGGCACTATATTGGAACACAGAATACATGAGCTTAGGAAGACAGCAGTATTCAGGGAGGATGTATCAGGATGGGTACACGTAACGAGTGGGATCCCACAGGTAAGACTCATAATATTTCTCATGTATAGGTAATGGTAATATTTCTTGAAACAGTTCTCTGTATATCACTGTTCACAAATGTCTAACAAAAACAGCTATCTAATCACGTCTAACAAACACAGTCATCTAATTACTTCTAACAAACACATCTATGACTAACAAGAACACTTTACAAACAACTTCCAACTATTCACATCTAAGAAACAAACAAATAAGTCTAATCACACCTGAACACTTCTCACGGAGCTTCTAAATGCAAACGGCTATCTAACGAGGTGGTGGCCTGACCCAGACTATTTCGTAGCAACAGGACTGCTTGATACCCTTCCACATGGAGTAAGAAGGGTAAGGGTTGTAGGCCCAATACAGAAGCTGAAATTCTAGGCAGCCTAGGTACTGGAAAGTCTTCCACAGTCTGTTGAAGATGTTGGTCGGCTGTGTAGTATTCGCGCCTGTTGGGGATACAAAAACATAAGCACTGCAATAGGTCTGATTAACTCTGGCAATAAACATAGGTATGTTTCGCCCACTAAGGGTGAAAATTTGCTTTCATGTGTCTATCCAGTTTGACGGTAATAATACACCTAGTTCTTGTATTTCAGCCTTCATTTAATGAACACATATTTCCCATTCCCCAGGTACTGTATATGACCTACAAGTTTAGCGCTTCGCTATGGATATAATAAAAAAACTGGCCTATGATTTTATAATAATTATAATTATGAGTAAATGCTGAACCCGTTCAGATCATACAGAGCCTGTGGAGGTAATTATATTTGTTCCACGGCGCGCATAACGGAGATAAAACACCTCAATTACTGGGAGCGCTTGAGGTTTCTAAACCTGTATTCCCTGGAACGCAGGCGGGAGAGATACATGATTATATACACCTGGAAAATCCTAGAGGGACTAGTACCGAACTTGCACACGAAAATCACTCACTACGAAAGCAAAAGACTTGGCAGACGATGCACCATCCCCCCAATGAAAAGCAGGGGTGTCACTAGCACGTTAAGAGACCATACAATAAGTGTCAGGGGCCCGAGACTGTTCAACTGCCTCCCAGCACACATAAGGGGGATTACCAACAGACCCCTGGCAGTCTTCAAGCTGGCACTGGACAAGCACCTAAAGTCAGTTCCTGATCAGCCGGGCTGTGGCTCGTACGTTGGTTTGCGTGCAGCCAGCAGCAACAGCCTGGTTGATCAGGCGCTGATCCACCAGGAGGCCTGGTCACAGACCGGGCCGCGGGGGCGTTGATCCCCGAAACTCTCTCCAGGTAAACTCCAGGAAGGAAAGGAGAGCTTGAGAGCTATGGTTCAAGAGCCTTCCACTAGCATCAATGTACTCGCTTTAAAGGATAGTCCACTCTAGACAGGCACTGGCCACGCTCTTCTCATATTTTTATAGCCTAAACTCAAGATTAGTCATAACAAATGATTAAGTTTCGTGGCTCAGTGGTACAACGTTGGGCCTACACTGTGCCAGACCCACAGTTCGTGGCTAAGTGGTACAACGTTGGGCCTACACTGTGCCAGACCCACAGTTCGTGGCTAAGTGGTACAACGTTGGGCCTACACTGTGCCAGACCCACAGTTCGTGGCTAAGTGGTACAACGTTGGGCCTACACTGTGCCAGACCCACAGTTCGAGTCCCTGTCCATTTTCATAACTTCTCTTAAAAGCTATCTAAAGTGCTCGCTTCAGTGACGTTACTTGGCAAGTTGTACCGCTCGTTTATAACTCTCTTTCCCCTCAAGGACGATTCCTTGACGTTGGTGAGGGGCTCTTGATCTAGGGAATTGGAACTATGCTCCAGTTCCCGGAATTAAACCTGAATACCTTCCACATTCCCCCCCCCTCACACACACAGGCACTGTATAATCCTACGGGTTTAGAGCTTCCCCTTGATTACAGAGGTACATAATGGTTCCAGGGACTGGACCCCAATGTTTTGATAGTTGAGCAAGTTACAAAGGTAATGAACTCCATGTAGATCTGGTCACAAACATGACAGTAGTAAGTATATTGGTAGTAGTAATAATAATAATAGTAGATGAATAATTTAAGAGGTAACTTGGGACTACTGACCATTATATTTGCCAGGGTGAATCTCGACGCCCAGGTGGGTGACGTTAGTGAGCAGCTCTGGCTGGTTCTTGAACACTTCCTCCAGAGTCTCCACTTCCATCCCTTCAATGTCCAGCTTCAGGTAGTCAATCCTCCGCCCCACGTGACCCAGTTTCTTAATGATCCCACCTAATGTGTCCACCTACACAAAGGCAAAGTCAAATTTTATTAAAAAAAAAATACTGGGTGATGGCTGGTTAGGTGAACTTTCAGTTGGGAATAAAAACATTTCCTCTCTGAAAATGCTTAAAAAATTGCAAAAATATTTAGAAAACTCAAAGTTTTCACTTTAGTTAAATAATACACTGAAAAAATATGAACAGGCTTCTTTCTTTCGCACTCATAAGACAATAACATATTAAAAAAATGTACGTTAAACCCCTGGGGGTCATACAGAGCTATCTCACACTCATATGAGAGAAGAGTAGTGATTGTGTAGTTACTGGCTACTACGTACTGCTTGGTGTGTGTGATGCACACTCACCAAGTTACTAAGAGTACACTCAGGTGACACACCAAGTTACGAAGAGTACACAGGTTACTAAGAAAGTACATACTCACCTTGCCTCTGCTAAAATTCCTCGCAGAGTTGCCAATACCGAGCTTCAAGAAGGTAATGTTAGGAGACCGCTTGTGTTCTTTCATATCCATGGTGGGATCGAACGAGTATACCTGCAAGTGAATCATGAATTATAATAGCAACCTGTGCTGCTATGTAAGATATTCTATGTAATTGTGTATACCTGAATATACTTACTTAACCTGATGAAAAATTCATCATCAAATTTAAAATAGTTATTGGTGCTTTAGTAACATTTCTCATTTTTTATGGAAGGAACGCCAAACTTGTTTTCTTTAGAAAGAAAATATGGTAAACTGTGTCAAATACCAGTAACCAATGACCCACACTTAAAAGTGTTTTCCTGCTAAAGTAAGTTTTTTCAGGTATACACAAATACAGTTACATAAATTATCATTCATAGGAGCATATGTGTAGAGAACCTACGATAATCCAAAAAAGTCAAAGTGACTTGTTTCCAACGGGATTCTTCACCATCACTAGAAGCCTTTTAAACTTACGCTTAACACTGACAAAACTTACTATATTATGTTTGGTAGCAGAGCAGGAGATGCACAAATTAACATTAAGATTGACAACACTCTAATTACCAGAAATAATGGGGGAAAATTCCTAGGCTTATACCTTGACAACAACCTGAATTTCAGCACCCATATCCAGCATATAGCCAAAAAAGTATCCAAAACGGTTGGGATCCTCTCCAAGATACGATACTACGTGCCGCAAAATGCCCTTCTCACACTATACCACTCACTTATTTATCCATACCTCACCTATGCTATTTGTGCTTGGAGATCAACTGCAGCAACACACCTAAAGCCAATAATAACCCAACAAAAAGCTGCAGTAAGAATAATCACTAAATCCCATCCCTGGCAGCACACCCCCCCACTCTTCAAAGATCTAAACTTACTCCCAGTTCAGTACATCCACACTTACTACTGTGCAATCTATATCTACAGGGCCTTAAACTCTAATATCAACCTTGACCTAAAACGCTTTCTTGATAGTTGTGACAGAACCCACAGGCATAACACCAGACACAAACATCTCTACGACATTCCCCGTGTCCGACTAAACCTTTACAAAAATTCAATGTATGTCAAAGGCCCTAAAATCTGGAATACCCTACCTGAGAACTCTAGAACTGCAGACACATTCATCACCTTCAAAACTACCATTAGAAAACATCTTATCTCCCTGATACACCCCGTCAACTAACTACACGAATACCACCTGGTGGTTCACACTTACACTCGCTCACTCATTTGACCATAAACAGAAATATTAATCTCAGTCTTAAAATAATGAATCCTGTGATACTCCAATACTGAAACTATATACTGTGCCAAAACAAAAGCATTCACATTGCTAAACTCATAAACTAGTATTTAGTCACTTAGCCATAAGACCAACTTACCTCATAATTTGTAATATTTTACAATTAAGAATAAAACTAAGTATGCCCGAAATGCCTAGCCATGCTAAGCGTTCTAGTGGTACACTCTGTAATCACAATTTTACTACATGTAAACCAAACAATAACCAAATTTCTGTAAACTCAGCATTGTAATCCTTATAGAGAATAAACTTTGAATTTGAATTTGAATCATCAAAAGTTAGCCATACCCCCGGCCGGGATTGAACCCGCGGTCATAGTCTCAAAACTCCAGCCCTCCTGACCGCGGGTTCAATCCCGGCCGGGGGTATGGTTTGTTTGCAATCGTGTCATTACGATTTCTTGAGTCATCAAAAGTTAATTTAGTATAATAGCTATATCATGCAGCACATATTCATAATGCTGGAGGTAGTCAATATATTACAGAGGGACAATAAAAGGTCCCGGGACCGGACCCCAAAGTTGTGATGGCTAAGCAAGTTACAGTGGTAATAATAAACTATTTAAAATTAATGATCTAGTAACAACTGGCGAGAGTCGTTTATACATATAAAAATTCAGTCACAAAAGTATTAGTGTAGCTAATATGCGGTTATGAGTTATTTATAATAGCCAATATTGAGCAACTTAAGCGAACTATATCTTTATTTTGAATTTCTAGACCTATACTAAGATTCCTACACCCACCTCGCAGCCGTAGGATGCCATAGCGTCATCGAACGACCACTCGAAGTTGATACCAAAGGAGTACACTAGGCAGTTTGAGGGAGGGGGAGCCACCGGCGAGTCCAGACACGCCCACTTGTCACCGTCCACAAATTTAGGAAAAATCGCACCACCGAACTTAGTCTGCAACAGTACAACATACCATATTGGGAAGATACAATATATGGGGGATACAGTAAATGCAAGATACCATACATCCAGTCTATTAGCCATTAGGCCCGGGCTTGGTGGGAAAAGCTCTTGCTTCACACAGTGAAGGTCCGGGTTCGATTCCCGGCAAAGGGTGAAAACATTGGGCGTGTTTCCTAGCACTTGCTGGTGCACCTTGTGTATGTGTACTCACCTAATTGTACTCACCTGCAGCCAGCAGCAACAGCCTGGTTGATCAGGCTCTGATCCACCAGGAGGCCTGGTCACAGACCGGGCCGCGGGGGCGTTGACCCCCGGAACTCTCTCCAGGTAAACTCCAGGTAAACCTAATTGTGGTTGCAGGGGTCGAGACTCAGCTCCTGGCCCCGTCTCTTCACCGACCGCTACTAGGTCCTCTCTCCCCCTGCTCCATGAGCTTTATCATACCTCGTCTTAAAACTATGTATAGTTCCTGCCTCCACTACATCGCTTGCCAGACTATTCCACTTCCTAACTACTCTATGACTGAAGAAATACTTCCTAACATCCCTTTGACTCATCTGAGTCTTCAGCTTCCAATTGTGACCCCTTGTTTCTGTGTCCCATCTCTGGAACATCCTGTCTCTGTCCACCTTGTCTATTCCACGCAGTATTTTGTATGTCATTATCATGTCTCCCCTGACCCTCCTGTCCTCCAGTGTTGTCAGACTGATTTCCCTTAACCTTTCTTCATAGGACATTCCCCTTAGCTCTGGAACCAGCCTTGTTGCAAACCTTAGCACTTTCTCTAATTTCTTGACGTGTTTGACCAGGTGTGGGTTCCAAACTGGTGCTGCGTACTCCGGTATGGGCCTGACTTACACAGTGTATAAAGTCTTGAACAATTCCTTACTGAGGTACTGGAATGCTATTCTCAGGTTTGCCAAGCGCCCATATGCCGCAGCAGTTATCTGGTTAATGTGCGCTTCTGGCGATGTACTCGGTATTATACTCACTCCTAGGTCTTTCTCCTTGAGTGAGGTTTGCAGCCTTTGGCCACCTAGCCTATACTCTGTCTGCGGTCTTTTTGCCCTCCTCCGATCTTCATGACTTTGCATTTGGCGGGGTTAAATTCTAGGAGCCAGTTTTTGGACCACACATCCAGCCTGTCCAGGTCTCTTTGTAGACCTGTCTGGTCTGCGTCTGATTTAATTCTCCTCATTAACTTCACGTCATCTGCAAACGGGGACACTTCTGAGTCTATCCCTTCCGTCATGTCGTTCACATATACCAAGAATAGCACTGGTCCCAGGACTGACCCCTGTGGGACCCCGCTCGTCACGGCGCCCACTGTGATGCCTCATCACGGACCATGACTCGCTGTTGCCTCCCTGTTAGGTATTCTCTGATCCATTGCAGTGCCCTTCCTGTTATACGTGCCTGTTCCTCTAGCTTCCGTACTAATCTCTTGTGAGGAACTGTGTCGAAGGCCTTCTTGCAGTCCAAGAAAATGCAATCAACCCACCCCTCCCTCTCATTTCTTACTTCAGTTACCTTGTCATAAAACTCTAGTAGGTTTGTGACACAGGATTTGCCTTCCATGAATCCGTGCTGGTTGTTGTTTATAATCTTGTTCCGCTCCAGGTGCTCCACCACTCTCCTCCTGATAATCTTTCCCAAGACTTTGCGTACTATACATGTCATTGACACTGGTCTATAATTTAGTGCTTTATTTCTGTCTCCCTTCTTAAAGATGGGGACTACATTTGCCTTCCTCCATACTTCAGGTAGTTGCCCAGTTTCAAGGGAAGTGTTGAAGATTTTGGTTAGTGGCACACATAGTGGCACACAGCTCTTGTTAGCTGTGTCAGCATGTCAGCGTGCCTCGTTGTGTTCCGGGTTTTCTCGTGTTTTCACGGTCGCTCTTACGTGCTAGAACTTTAATTTGTGCCATCAATCCTACATGATACATCCCTCTAGCGCCTGGAACCAATCTTGGGCGGAAAACATTATATACTGAGTCAAAAAAGGAGAATTAGTGTGCACTACCTAGCAGAGTTTACTGCCAGAGGAGAATCATAGGCCTGTGTTCCATGTGCAAAATAATAATAATAAAACTTTTCTTTGTCAGAGGAAAGAAAGTCTCCCTGACAACATTGTGTATACACAGTGTATAGTGTATACTACAGTGGCTCCCTAGTATATAGCTGATACAGGCTAAAGTGACATTTGAAAACAGGTGAATCTGTAAATGAAGTGATAAGCCTATATAGGCAGGTGCCAGAAGTCGCCAGAAACTTACCACAGAGGTCAGCTGTTTTAATAATCTTCCTGGCCTGCTAGTGTACTCGCATAAAATCTAGTGATACTAGTGAATAGCAGGATACAGTGTTGTAGTAGCAACTAACCAGTATTATAATGGTACTTAGTGGAGTGGAGTGACTTTCATTAGTTTCCTTTTTCTTGAAATACCAGATGTATACTGTGAATCTCATATAACCTGTAGTTACCAGCGGTCACAATATACACAACGAGAAGCAATTATTACTACAGAAAAAGCGTCCATCCTCCAAAATTTCCACCAGTCAACTATAGTGATAATATAGCATTTATTGTGGTGGAGACGAAAAAAAACTAGAAAAGCTAGATACAGCGATTGATAAACAAGGGTTAAGGCTCGACCGTTCGTCATTGTAGGAGCTGCCAGCAATCACCGGTTCTTCAACATGCAAATTATACTTTTGTATCAATCAAATCACATATTACTCGGGTAGATAATTTCAAGTAGATCCTTCATGTGTTAGCCCAAATCACCGACCAGTATGTTTTAAATAAGTGACCCACTGATCAGATCAGACTGGTTCCGAACCCTCGACTGGTCCGAACCCTCGACTGGTCCGAACCCTTGACTGGTCCGAACCCTTGACCGGTTTCAAACAGATTCGTTGGACAATAAAGCAGACTGTAAACGGATGGGGTTGTAGGCACCCTTATCAAACACAAACAATAAATATAAATAGGAACGTACATGGTAAGCTGTCCAATATACAAGTACAGTTAGAAATAGAAATACAAATAGCTAGAGCTTCATTTAAGGAGGTTATTAATAGAGTATTCAAGAGGTTGCTAGTAGAATTACAGTAAATCAACCATTCAAATCATTATGAAGCTCTGTGTAGTCTGCAGTCAATCAAACAAACGGGCTTCCACATGGATAAATTGTCATTTTTGTGGAAATTGGTGTCACGCCCCTTGTGCAGATATCCAAGAACTAGCTACAAGCAGTATTAAAACTGGGAAGTGTTTTTGGGTATGCCCAAATGAGATAAATCTGTGGACTAAAATCACAAGGGTATTAAAAGAGGATAACATCAAAGCTGCTTTCATAGACAACCTGGAAGCTTTCTACAACAGATGGGAACATAAAAAGTCTGGGCTGAATGGTACTGCCCTTGATACTGGCCATGTAGTCAGAAACTGTAAGGCTGGAGGTGATGTCCTGGTAGTCAGTAAATGTGGGGCTGATAGTGCTGATGGTGAAGCTGGAGGTGCTGTCCTGGGAGACAGTAATAGTGAAGCTGGAGGTGCTGTCCTGGGAGACAGTAATGGTGAAACTAGAGGTGCTGTCCTGGGACACAGTAATGGTGAAGCTGGAGGTGCTGTCCTGGGAGACAGTAATGGTGAAGCTAGAGGTTCTGTCCTGGGAGACAGTAATGGTGAAGCTGGAGGTGCTGTCCTGGGAGACAGTAATGGTGAAGCTGGAGATTTTGTCCAGGTAGTCGGGAATTATACGCAGGAAGGAATACATATAAATGACCTCATAGGGGACAGGAGCCGTAGTGGGGAAACAAGTGTAGTCAAAGATAAGATAAAACCAATATTGCAAACTAGAAATACCACAGGAAATAGAAAACAAGAGGACTCCACTAGCAATAGTGAGGATATATTACCAAAAACAACTGGTGGGAGCTCCATTGTTGGTGCTAGGGAGGATAGGAATAAGACAGGGAAACATGCACCAACAGGGAATACAGTCACAGAAACCCAAGGCAAACGGAAACCAAGCCTGTGCACATACTGTGCACTTGGTATCTGCAGACATGGGAAATCTGGAAAAACAGATGGGACGTGCAACTATGACCACCCTAGAAAATGCCGTGCCCATATGACAACAGGAAAATGCAAACTCCCTTCCTGTAAGCTTTTTCACCCTGAACTGTGTACATCTTCAGTACAGGAAAGACTGTGCTATAACTTAAATTGCCAGGCATACCATCTAAAGGGGATAAAAAGATACAAAACATCCAGGCCATGGGAAAACCTGGGTAACCACAACCACTCAAGAGGGAGAGGTTTTTTTAGTGCCAGAAAGGAAAAAAACTGGCAGGAAATGGCAGAAATCGTACACCAAATCCAGTCATTCCTGGAGTGGAACCACAGTCGATGGCCTCCACTCCAAACCAACAGATACAGATACTAATGCCGGAAAAAAAATCCCCCCCCCAGTACCAACAATACCACCAGTCCGATAACATTCTTCTTTGCAAATATACAGGGTCTAAAGCCAGCAACAAACAACAAAATACCTTTCATCCGTGGACTGCTTGCAGAGGCAAAGGCAATGTTCACGGCTTTCACTGAGACCCACATAAAGGATCACTTGGACAACGAAATATGGATCCCAGGTTACAACCTATACAGATGTGACAGAGTGAACAGGCAAAAGGGGGGGGGGTTGGCCTGTACATTGCAGAGTCACTTGTTTGCACAGAACTGCTTAATGCCTCAAATGATGTAGTGGAAGTTTTAGCAGTAAAGGTCGAGAACCAAAACCTAGTCATTGTGGTAGTCTACAAGCCTCCGGATGCAACATCCCAGCAATTCCAGGAACAGCTGTTAAAAATTGACCACTATCTGGAAAATCTTCCAGCTCCTGCACCCAACATCTTGCTCCTGGGGGATTTCAACTTAAGGCACCTAAAATGGAGGAATATAGCAAATAATATTATTGCAGTAATAACACCAGGAGGCAGCTCTGATGAAAACTCACACTCACACGAGCTTTTAAATCTCTGCACAAAATTCAATTTAAACCAGCAAATAATAGAGCCTACTAGACTGGAGAATACACTAGACCTCATCTTCACTAACAATGATGATCTGATAAGAAATGTCACCATATCAAAAACAATATACTCAGATCACAACATAATTGAGGTTCAGACATGTATGCGTGGAGCCCCAGACCGACATAATGAGATTAGTCACGAGGGAGCATTCACCAAATTCAACTTCAATAACAAAAACATAAAGTGGGACCAAGTAAACCAAGTCCTAACCGATATAAGCTGGGAAGATATACTAAGCAACACAGACCCCAACTTATGCCTAGAACAGATTAACTTGGTGGCACTCGATGTATGCACAAGGCTTATTCCTCTAAGAAAAAGGAGTAGATGTAAAATAGAAAGAGACAGGCGCTCCCTTTACAGGCGACGGAAAAGAATAACAGAGCGGCTAAAAGAGGTCAATATATCTGAAATGCGTAGGGAGACACTGGTCAGAGAAATAGCAAGCATTGAACTTAAGCTAAAGGAATCTTATAGGAGTCAGAAATCGCGGGAAGAAGTAAAAGCCATAAATGAAATCGAAAGAAACCCAAAGTATTTCTCTTCCTATGCCAAATCAAAGTCGAGAACAACGTCCAGTATTGGGCCCCTACTTAAACAAGATGGGTCTTACACAGATGACAGCAAGGAAATGAGTGAGCTACTCAAGTCCCAATCTGACTCTGTTTTTAGCAAGCCGCTAACCAGACTGAGAGTCGAAGATCAAAATGAATTTTTTTGTGAGAGAGCCACAGAATTTGGTTAACACAAGCCTATCCGATGTTATCCTGACGCCAAATGACTTTGAACAGGCGATAAATGACATGCCCATGCACTCTGCCCCAGAGCCAGACTCATGGAACTCCGTGTTCATCACGAGCCTTTTCCATCCTATGGAGAGGGAGCATGGACACGGGGATCGTCCCACAGTTACTAAAAACAACAGACATAGCCCCACTCCACAAAGGGGGCACTAAAGCAACAGCAAAGAACTACAGACCGATAGCACTAACATCCCATATCATAAAAATCTTTGAAATGGTCCTAAGAAGCAAGATCACTACCCATCTAGAAACCCATCAGTTACACAACCCATGGCAACATGGGTTTAGAACAGGTCGCTCCTGTCTGTCTCAACTATTGGATCACTACGACAAGGTCCTAGATGCACTAGAAGACAAAAAAATGCAGCTGTAATATATACAGACTTTGCAAAAGCCTTCGACAAGTGTGATCATGGCGTAATAGCGCACAAAATGCGTGCTAAAGGAATAACAGGAAAAGTCGGTCGATGGATCTATAATTTCCTCACTAACAGAACACAGAGAGTAGTCGTCAACAGAGTAAAGTCCGAGGCAGCTACGGTGAAAAGCTCTGTTCCACAAGGCACAGTACTCGCTCCCATCTTGTTCCTCATCCTCATATCTGACATAAACAAGGATGTCAGCCACAGCACCGTGTCTTCCTTTGCAGATGACACCCGAATCTGCATGACAGTGTCTTCCATTGCAGACACTGCAAAGGCTCCAGGCGGACATCAACCAAATCTTTCAGTGGGCTGCAGAAAACAATATGAAGTTTCCAACGATGAGAAATTTCAATTACTCAGATATGGTAAACACAAGGAAATTAAATCTTCAACAGAGTACAAAACAAATTCTGGCCATAAAATAGAGCGAAACACCAACGTCAAAGACCTGGGAGTGATCATGTCGGAGGATCTCACCTTCAAGGACCATAACATTGTATCAATCGCATCTGCTAGAAAAATGACAGGATGGATAATGAGAACCTTCAAAACTAGGGAGGTCAAGCCCATGATGACACTCTTCAGGTCACTTGTTCTATCTAGGCTGGAATATTGCTGCACTCTAACAGCACCTTTCAAGGCAGGTGAAATTGCTGACCTAGAAAATATAGAGAACCTTCACGGCGCGCATAACGGAGATAATACACCTCAATTACTGGGAGCGCTTGAGGTTCCTAAACCTGTATTCCCTGGAACGCAGGCGGGAGAGATACATGATTATATACACCTGGAAAATCCTAGAGGGACTAGTACTGAACTTGCACACGAAAATCACTCACTACGAAAGCAAAAGACTTGGCAGACGATGCAACATCCCCCAATGAAAAGCAGGGGTGTCACTAGCACGTTAAGAGACCATACAATAAGTGTCAGGGGCCCGAGACTGTTCAACTGCCTCCCAGCATACATAAGGGGGATTATCAACAGTCCCCTGGCAGTCTTCAAGCTGGCACTGGACAAGCACCTAAAGTCGGTTCCTGACCAGCCGGGCTGTGGCTCGTACGTTGGTTTGCGTGCAGCCAGCAGTAACAGCCTGGTTGATCAGGCTCTGATCCACCAGGAGGCCTGGTCACATACCGGGCCGCGGGGGCGTTGACCCCCGGAACTCTCTCCAGGTAAACATAGTGTCCCTGCTCCCACGGAGAGATGCCCGGTCCCACCGCCTTTGAGGTATCAAGGTCACTTAGGGGCTTCTCCACCTCCTCAGCTGTGTGTAATTCATCCAACACTTGTTGGTATATCCCTTGTTGCTATACCCCACTGTTTTGTCCTCCCGTTGTCCCTTCAGCCTCCACTCTAAATACTTCCTGAAATCTCATCATGTGTGTGTGTGTGTGTGTGTGTGTGTGTGCGTGTGCGTGTGTGTGTGTGCCTAATAAGGCGAACTTGCCAATAGGCCTAACTCCCTTAAAAATTAGACTCTTCCCGAAAAATTTCTTTTACAGAATGACCGACAATTTATTTTCATTAACAATGATATATGATATAAAGATTTTTATTTTTGGACCAAACCTAATTTAGAAACCTCACCTACCCTAACTTAAACTAACATATTTTTTAGCTCAATTATGCTATATATACCTGGAGAGGGTTTCGGGGGTCAACGCCCCCGTAGCCCGGTTTGAGACCAGGCCTCGTGGTGAATCAGGGTCTGATCAACCAGGCTGTTACTGCTGGCCGCACGTAAATTGACGTACGAACCACAGCCCGGCTGGTTAGGTACTGACTTTAAGTGCCATATATTTAATGTTACTTAAAATAAATGATATTTTTTTTCGTTATGTTCAGAGTAATTTTCGCAGAATGATAAAAATAGATCTTCACTCTTCTTAATTGACAGAGGACATCCCTTGCCGGATACGTCAAACTCATCTGTTCACCTCTGGTGTAAATTGTGTGTATATATAAATATATATATATATATATATATATATATATATATATAATATATATATATATTATATATATATATATATATAATATAATATAATATTTTATATATAACAACAGTGCGACTAACCAAGGAGTCAAACCCATGCTGCTTTGGCCCGCCTCATGGTGAGCGAAAACACATGACGCTCTAGTCTACGAGACCACACAAGAGGATTTTTGTGGTCCCGTGGACTAGCGCGTCACGTGTTTTCGCCCACCATGAGGCGGGCCAAAGCAGCATGGGTTCGACTCCTTGGCTAGTCGCAGTGTTGTTATTGATCAATACCACAAAGATTAACAATCCTGCCAGTGCAAAACATTTATCTGGCTTCCTTACCAAATTTTTGCAGGGGTATTCCGTCTGGTTGAGATATTTGAAGAAAACTGTGATATTTGGTAATGGTTCTATATGGCAGCTGTTAACAGCTGCTCGTGCCCAGGCCACCATATCACCTGCTCGGAATTCACATACATGTTGTGTTAGTAAACGTTAGTCGATTAACCTCATAAATATTGTATTATATGCTAATAAACATTACATAAGCTAATATGCTACTGTTCTCACAGGTGAACACTCCCAGAGTGAACACCCTTACTAACTCAAACACACTAGCGTTATTATTGTAGTCTTGCTACTATTATTATTATTATTATTATTATTATTATTATTATTATTATTATTATTATTATTAATTATTATTATTAATTGTTATTATTATTACTACCACTACTACTACTACTACTACTACTACTATTCAGAGGGCTAAGAAGGGGTTTGTTTATGTGATTTCAACATTTAAAGACGTTGGAGCAAAATAAGATGACTGCAAGGGTTTACAAATCTGGGGTGGAGAGAAGGGATTGATAAATCATTTAAGACACAGGTGTAGCACTAGGAATCCTTACTGACGAAACGTTCGCCTGTGCTGTTGGATTCATCAGTCAAATACAGAGATGAATCACACTCTTGGAGATATCAGCGCTGATGGAAGATGAGACAGACGAAATAGACAGGTAGATGTAATCAGTCCATCACCCTAGGTGCAATATGATCAGTCTGCCAAACTAAAGCAGAAGCAGTTGTCCAGAGGGTTATATAGAGGAAGGCGAGATGTAGCAACTAGGAATTGAGATTACATGTAAGTTGGACTCACTAGTGGTAGTACGTTATGGTAAACAGTTGTTAGCAAGAGTTGATCAACACATCACCTGTACCAAGTTAGCATAGTGTTGCAGTTGCAGACAAGTATCACATTATAAATTGTATACAATACTGGGGACGGAGCACGGGTCATTCCCCAATGGTTGGAGGGAGGGGTAAATGAGGTTTTTAGTGCTAGAGGCTTGGGCGTCCAACAGGCTTGTGTGAGGGCGTTAGACAGGAGTGGGGACAATTAGTTTTATGATTTGACGTGCTGTTGGAGTGTGAGCAAGGTAATATTTATGAAGGGATGCAGGGAAACCGGTTAGCCAGAATTTAGCCCTGGAGGTGGGAAGCAGAGTGCCTGCGCTCTGAAGGACGGGTGGGGATGGTGCAGTTCGGAGAGTCATCTGATTTGTGGTGTCAGTACGCTCCGGACAAGACAGTGTTTAAATAAGTGACGGTAAAAGTGTTTCTTCCTTAATGGGTCACCCAGCGATGCTAGAATGTTAGCTGGAGAAGTGATCTGAATATTCCTCGTATATCGAATTTCAGCTCTGTTGCTGGCAACCTAGATGTATACTACACTAAGAACAGCCCCTCCTAACATACACGTTCCACCACCTTTATCTTGACAGAATCTTCACGTGACTTAGCTTGTTGTCCTGGTGTGTAGAAGGCTCAACGGTGTACCAATTCGAAGATTTTTTCAGAAAGCATATCTATGATTTGTTTGTATCAGCGGCACCAATTGTGGGCTGGAGTTTTGAGACTCTATGACCGCGGGTTCAATCCCGGCCGGGGGTATGGTTCAATTGTCTCTTCCCACAGCCTCAGAAGCATTCATGGTACATCTACAATTATACTCCTCAAACCCACATAGTCCATAAACTCAAGATAAGCAGTAAGTGTTTATGAGGTTCTCTTATTATTTTGGCACCTTTCCAATACAGTATGTATGCGAGCTATGCAAAATGTATTGGCAATATCTCTTATAAGTACATTTGGGTTCACGGTCTCTTGGTGTCGAGACATCATCTATACAAAGCCTCTCGCAGCCTCAGCATGGGATAGAGTAAACGTTCGTTGACTTGTGCTGTTTATTGTGGCTTACTGCTGCTCAGATACTTCTTGGTAGTGGAGACATTGATCTTACTACTGAATGTTAAATTCCCATTATTAGAAATTAAATAATTTTTGACTGGTGGTTTACATTTGAAACACAGACCGTGTTGTCCGTGGCCTGGTGGCAAAAGCTCTCGTTTCACACGCTGAGGGTCCATGGTTTGATTCCCAGCAAGGGTGGAAACAATGGGCGTGTTTCCTTACACCTGTTGTCTATGTTCACCCATCAGTACAATAGGTACCTGGGTGTTAGTGGACTGGTGTGGGTCGCATCCTGGGACAAAACTGACCTAATTTGCCCGAAATGCTCTGCATAACAAGCGGCTTTCTATAGAGGAGTGTGTTATTGATGTCAGCTATGGTCTGTATACCTTGTACATGTACTTATAGAAATAAAGTATTTATTATTATTATTATTATATTATTATTATTAATTATTATTATTATTAAAAATACAGCCAAGATGATGAAAGACTTCAAACATTTATTACCAGAAAACGTAAATTCTGAATGGCAGCAATTTATCAGGTGTTCAGCCTGGTTCACCCTGAACCAGGATGAACACCTGTTTGTACACACCTCATGAGCTGTAAAAAAAATAGCACCAGGAAAAGGCCGGATCCAATATATTTTTCTCAAAAATTAATATTTCTTTATATTAATAAACGTTTTTAATATTTTGAATCACAACTAATTTAGACAAAATAACTTTCCTCCAATTAACGTAAAATAGTGTATTTTATTTTAATACAAACTGTGTGGGTCCTAAATTTAATTAACTTAATATAACGTTAAATAAATGCATTAAGTTTCGTGGATGTTAAGAAAAAAAATTTCAGTTAGTGAATGTGACTGATCTGACTAAGTAAAGGCATTAGCTTAAGCCGGTGGGAGAATTGGACCTGCCTCGCATGGGACAGTAGGCCTGCAAAATAATACTTGTTGAATAAGTTTAATTTAAAAAGCACGACATAAACACTGAGTGATTTGTTTGATCCTCGTGTGAGAGAAAGATATTTATCTTTAGTTAGGTTAGGTAAGGTTCGTCAGGAAACAGGAGAAATGTTTCCTGACGCGGGTCTTAGTCAGATGATGACCCGCCTTTGGAGCTTTTGGTCATCTGACCGAGGCCTTCCGCTGGCTTACCGGTCCACCCCTTTAAAAATTATGGTCATTTATAACCAGTCTGTCTATATATATTATCTTTAGTGTTTAAGAGAATTGGTGCCTTACTGACCTTCGTGTCCTGGACAGACTAATATATTCAAACAAACTTTGGTATGATGGTAATAATGTACAGAGTAAAAGGTGTGTGTGTGTATTTACTTCAACATACATCAACAAATTTACTAATTTCTCAGTTCAATTCCTAGTTTGTTGGTATATTTTATTTAATGGTTTAATGAGAGCTGCACCACTCCACGTCGGGGTTAAAATACGCTCTACACTAGGAGAGAAATACTTGGAAGTCTGGAAAACACTGATCATTCTGGATGCTTGTGATGCTCTATGTTTTATAAACCTATGTAGGTCTAGCATGTGTGTGTGTGTGTGTGTGTGTGTGTGTGTGTGTGTGTGTGTGTGTGTGTGTGTGTGTGTGTGTGTGTGTGTGTGTGTGTATGTGTGTGTATGTGTGTGTGTGTACTCACCTAGTTGTACTCACCTAGTTGAGGTTGCGGGGATCGAGTCCGAGCTCCTGGCCCCGCCTCTTCACTGGTCGCTACTAGGTCACTCTCCCTGAGCCGTGAGCTTTATCATACCTCTGCTTAAAGCTATGTATGGATCCTGCCTCCACTACATCACTTCCCAAACTATTCCACTTACTGACTACTCTGTGGCTGAAGAAATACTTCCTAACATCCCTGTGATTCATCTGTGTCTTCAGCTTCCAACTGTGTCCCCTTGTTACTGTGTCCAATCTCTGGAACATCCTGTCTTTGTCCACCTTGTCAATTCCTCTCAGTATTTTGTATGTCGTTATCATGTCCCCCCTATCTCTCCTGTCCTCCAGTGTCGTCAGGTTGATTTCCCTTAACCTCTCCTCGTAGGACATACCTCTTAGCTCTGGGACTAGTCTTGTTGCAAACCTTTGCACTTTCTCTAGTTTCTTTACGTGCTTGGCTAGGTGTGGGTTCCAAACTGGTGCCGCATACTCCAATATGGGCCTAACGTACACGGTGTACAGGGTCCTGAATGATTCCTTATTAAGATGTCGGAATGCTGTTCTGAGGTTTGCTAGGCGCCCATATGCTGCAGCAGTTATTTGGTTGATGTGCGCTTCAGGAGATGTGCCTGGTGTTATACTCACCCCAAGATCTTTTTCCTTGAGTGAGGTTTGTAGTCTCTGGCCCCCTAGACTGTACTCCGTCTGCGGTCTTCTTTGCCCTTCCCCAATCTTCATGACTTTGCACTTGGTGGATTGAACTCCAGGAGCCAATTGCTGGACCAGGTCTGCAGCCTGTCCAGATCCCTTTGTAGTTCTGCCTGGTCTTCGATCGAGTGAATTCTTCTCATCAACTTCACGTCATCTGCAAACAGGGACACCTCAGAGTCTATTCCTTCCGTCATGTCGTTCACAAATACCAGAAACAGCACTGGTCCTAGGACTGACCCCTGTGGGACCCCGCTGGTCACAGGTGCCCACTCTGACACCTCGCCACGTACCATGACTCGCTGCTGTCTTCCTGACAAGTATTCCCTGATCGATTGTAGTGCCTTCCCTGTTATCCCTGCTTGGTCCTCCAGTTTTTGCACCAATCTCTTGTGTGGAACTGTGTCAAACGCCTTCTTGCAGTCCAAGAAAATGCAATCCACCCACCCCTCTCTCTCTTGTCTTACTGCTGTCACCATGTCATAGAACTCCAGTAGGTTTGTGACACAGGATTTCCTGTCCCTGAAACCATGTTGGCTGCTGTTGATGAGATCGTTCCTTTCTAGGTGTTTCCACCACTCTTCTCCTGATAATCTTCTCCATGATTTTGCATACTATACATGTCAGTGACACTGGTCTGTAGTTTAATGCTTCATGTCTGTCTCCTTTTTTAAAGATTGGGACTACATTTGCTGTCTTCCATGCCTCAGGCAATCTCCCTGTTTCGATAGATGTATTGAAAATTGTTGTTAGGGGTACACATAGCGCCTCTGCTCCCTCTCTCAATACCCATTGGGAGATGTTATCTGGCCCCAT